GGGAATTTTGAATTAAAATATACACGTTATCAGGATTGAAAGTGATATTTATTTAAAAAAGCATGACAAATTAACAAGTTGAGAGGAGCTAGCAATCCTGCAAACAATGAACAGTGAGCAAATGTTGAATGAAAGCATCTTTGCTGACCATTCAGAATATTAACATTAACTTTTAAAAGCTGTCTTCAGTAACTACCATTCCTTTAAACAATCAAGAATATTCAATACAGAAACAGAAAGGCTGACTAAATATGATGGGAACTGAAGCATACTTACTTTCAGGTAAGAATGGTTATCTTTCCTGAGGTATAAATTTCAGAAGCTGATCTGGTATTTCAAATGGCCACTTGAACGTCAGTAGCTTCTTGATTAGGAGAAATATTTATAGATTTAGATACAAATTCCATGTAAAAAAACCCACTACACCTTCACTGAAAGCAAAGGTTTGTGCTTTAAAGGATTTTGCTCAATGAAGCAAATTGGGTTTTTAAATACAAAACGTATTTCCACCTTTTATGTCAAAAACCTACAATTTAAGTGATTAATTCCATGCTTTGGGTTGCTATCTCCAATACTTAAATTGCTTAACATAATTATTTCATTAAAGCTCTGTAATATGTTGTGTTTCTATAAAAATCCCCCGAGACACTTAATTGCTAGAGACCCAGTAACAGCATTTTTAGGGGCACTAAGATAAAATAGACTGTCCTGAAGAACGACAGACAAGGACAGTGTGGCCATTTTAGTTTTCCAAAGCACAATGAAAAATGAGACGGAAGTGTATGTGCATAGCTGACAAATTATGCATCTCCCTAGATTATTTCTAGAATTCATTTTTTCCTTCTGGAAAAAGCTCAAGATCTGCCACTTTTACATCTTATGTTTAGGGTTGTTTTATTTGTAAGATACTTGTCTGTTTATAGAACTGAAATACTGTCACTGGATTGCATCTACAACATGGGTTATCACCAACTTTCTAAGCTATGAACTTTGTAAGCTTCCTGAACCAAATCCTACCCCTGCTCCTCAAAAATAATGAGGGATGACAGAGCAAGAGACCAAGGCTAGAAAGAACTGGACTGTGATGCTTCTCCACTGCAGAAGCTACAATGTTAGTGTTTCTCTATACCTGGAAAAAAAAAAAAAAAGCACTAGAGAGTTGGCAAGACAGCTTTTAATGAGACTTATGTGATTTAAAATATATATATTCACACAGCCTTTCCAAAAATTATTTTCCTGTAGTTACACATCCTAACACACTTAGAAACATTTTAGACATTAAAATTAGCATTTCTTTCACATTACTATCACTTACTTGGCAAGAAGTCCAGTAATGAGATCTAAACTGCACGAGAAACAAGCTTGAAACCATCAGTTCAGGAAAAGCAGGTGGAAAAAAGGGTCCAAGATGTCTAGAGTGTGCTGAAACTCAAGTAACAGGGTTACCGCAGTTTGAGGACTTCTAAAGTTTCTGGGGAAAAAAGCATTCTCCCATTCAATAAGCAAGTATACCCTCAGATAAGAAAATTTGAAAACTTAAAGAAAAAGGAAAATTTAAAGAACATTTGGTATTTGAACTCTTGCAGATATGAAGATACTTATGCTGATGTCATTTTTCACAAATCATAAGTCCAAATAAATCTGTCTTTCCATTTTGATAGCTGTTACACTAATTTCTGACCTAGAAGTGAAATAAAGCCCAAGTTGCAGCATACTCAAAGACTTACAATGCCTGAACATAATACTGAGGTCACACTGACGACTGCAAGTGGCTACAGTGGTGCCTGCCTTTGTGCTCACCGGAATTATTCCTGTCTCACTCCAAACAACTGAATCGAGACCTTGAAAACCATCAGGAGCTGACTCCTGCCAGAGCAAACGCAGCTTAGCATGACGTAATGACTGCAGTCCTTTCAATCTCCTCTCTGTAATAATGAGCCTCCAGAAGAAGTAAAAATCTCTTCCTTCCTTTTTGTGTTTTTCCTGAAATAAATATTGGAACATTAATTAAAAGGCAAACTGTATCAATGACTTATAGCCTGTATGGTATAAAGTTTCATAGCTTTAAGAGGCGTTTGATGCCCTTCTCACGTTCACACCCTTCTGACTATACATGCTTCTACACCAGAGGCCAATGCATACATTTAATGACTAAAACATTAAGAAATACAAGATGAATAAATTAATAGCTAAAACTAGGGATTAGCAGGTCAAATATTAGTTAGAAAAATTACAGCTATTTAAGTACTCTTTTGTTTCCCCCAAACACATTTTAAAATATACACAAGATTTGTATTTTAGATGCTCAGGCATTATTTCTACCCCCCTGGTTTGCATTCCTAGGCAGAAATCTAAAAGCAACCATCACCAAATTTATTAAGCACCTATGATGCTGATTTGCAGAAGGGCTCTGCTCCAACTGGTTTGCTTTTAACACCTTTTGCCCTGACAATACTATTTAGCTACAAGGGGAAGCACTTCTATAAAAAAAGTCAGGGAGTGGGGGGGAAGTACTGTGAGGAAGGACCTCTGAATATGCTTTGATTACATCAAAGTGTATGTTGCTCAGTTAGGGAAACAGATGTCTAAGCAGGCCATTCTCAAACAGCCCTAAGAATAAAAGGCTAGCTGGCAGGACTTGGCTTTTAAAAGCAGTCCTATCACTTAAATCAACTATACAGCACAGATGAAAACAGAGACCCAGTTTAGTTTTAAAACACCTTGCAAAAAGCAAATGTACTCCTTCTAAAAATCCTTATCCATGAATTGTGCATTCATAGCATTGCATGTTAATTCCAGTATTCCTCTTGAAAAATATATTCATTTCAGAAGGTATCATTCAGTAGCTATGGTGCCAGGCTTGAATATCCCACCAATAGCTAGTTTCCATTTTGAAGAAAACAGAGAAAGCTTAATTCCTGTGATCATACAAGTAATTTCAAGGTAATTTTAAGACTTTTCCTTAAAGGGGTGGCATAAAAACATTTCCTCTTACATTTAACTGTGTGATGCTAAAATTGGGAGATGCACTTTGATAGTGTAAAGACAGTACAATTACTTGTTGGTATGACAGCCCCTTCCCAGCAAAAGCCAAAAATAAGTAAAAGTAGAATCAGTGTATTCCTTTTTGCTTTCAGGGTTCAAAAAGTAAATAGATCTTCAGAAGATAATTTCATCAAGTCTATTTATTAATGCATTTCAAGTTTCAAAAAACCTTACATATCTTTGCACAATACATTATTTTTTGCATTTTTAGTAAAAATTTCCAAAGTGAACAAAAAAGATACTGTATAAAACACAGTGGACATGAAATCGACAGTAGTATTCCATTTCATTGTCTTGAACTTTCTTTCGGTTTTACCACATCTTGACTTGCAGTGGAGAGTTCAGTGCACATTTCTGTTTTCAGAAAACATTTAACTTAGACTCAAAATAAAATAGGGCAGCATTTGTCTGCCAAAATCCTACCACAGGATAACATTACAGGCAAAAAATTTACATGTTCCAAAGTCTACCACACTCAAGAAGTTACTAAGAACTCTTGCTGAATAAAAGTCACCATTTTAGAAATGCAAACCCACTTCCAATCTTTGCACAGTCTTAAAAGAAATGTATTTAAAATGACTTAAAAGCAACTACATACACTTCTAACTAGTTAAGATCATTTAGAATTATTTATATAGTCTATTGGACTTGGGGTTTCATGTACAAAATTTGTCTCTAAACCATGTACAAAAAGCTGTATTTTGAAAAAGTTACCACATACTGTACAAGTTTACAAGGAAGAGATCCCATTATATTCTGTAACATTTTTGGCCTTGCTGGCTTGCGTCACATTATGAGAATGATTGTGTAAACCTTATACTCTTAAAAAACAAAAACAAAAACGAAACAAAGGAAGCCTGTCCAACCCTTAGTAAATTTTCTCCTAAGCAAAGCCAGGAAAATTATAGCCATTTGCATCTCTAATTAGCTCGGTGCTTTTGGAAAACAAGCAATAAATACATCACAAGCTTAAACATTTTGTAATGCCCCCTTTCATCTCCTGCATAGCAGTAAGCACCTTAAGACATCTTTTATTTTCTCTTTCAAAAATGCCAATTATTTACATTCGTAATAAAAACTTTGGAATGGGACATTGTGCTGTTGAACTTCACTACTGGTATAAAATGTGGGAAAATTGGTAGTCCTAACTACAATTTTAACTGCCACAGTAGCTGGGCAAATCACTCTAGTGGTTATCAATCAACAGTATCATGGTGAAGAGTTATCCAAATAGCTGATAAGTTAAAAAAGAAAATGAAAACACTACAGCTTTTTTTTTTTTCTTTCCACATCCCTCAGAACACGAAATTAATTATCATACTGTAAGAATATCTGAACAGCCCAAATAAACTGGTTGCAATTTTTAAAACAACTTGAACAACAGGCAGAATTTATTAACAAAGCATGGACATTTTTCATCTAACTATTCATTATTCAACTGAATAATCAGACAAAAATATTTATGCTGAGCTACAAGAAATTAGACACTTATATAAAACATTTTTGAAACATTCTGGCATTTGCAAAGGTTGCAGAACACCTCTTATCCCTAAAAGACCATTCAATCTTGTATGCTATGTCTTAGCAGCTGTTTGATAAAGATGAAATGAGTGCTTGAAACAACTTTGATCACGATAAAAAAAAGTTTGATTTGATTCAAAATTGCTGTGTAAAGCATCACAGGATCCTTGACCATTACACACCATCATCCTCTGTTATCCTGAGTATGTCAATTAAACAGTAATTTCTTCATTAATAGCGGAAAAGTTTTATAATACAAAGAAACATCCATATTGCAATTCTCTTGTTTACAATTGCACACAAGTACGGGTGTACGTTAGAAATACATGTCTGCATATAACAACGTATATACATTGACAAGTAATGTCTCCAATGCTGAGGTGGTCTAGCTTCCTAGCCTTGTCTGGCAGTTGAAAAATATATATTTTTTTTCCAATTCTTGAGTAAAAGTTCTACTACAGCCATATTTGCCTGCAAGTGAAGAAAATGCAGCAATGAAGAGCACAGAAGGGGGAAAGAATCATGATACTCCAGGACTTTGTGCCACTAAATTAAAAATATGCAAGAAAAACACTTCTCTTCTTTTTGAGCTGGAAGATTCACTCATTAAAAATTAATTTCCACTTGTTTTGAGGGCATATCATGCTTTTTTTTTTTCTCTTCAGTTTTTGAGAGTTAGACTGGGGACAATGACTTATTAGGTTTTCTTTGGAGTGAGTTTTCCCATTGTAGGCACTAGGAAGAACCAAGGCAAAAAGCTGCAGTCAGCGTCTCATATGTCCCATCTGATAACTCTCTCGGGGCCTTTGCCGCTGTGGTGGCTGAGCGGTTTGTGGTGGTCTCCTCCTTTTTAAAGTGCCTGTTTTCAAAGAAAGGTACACATCATTAAAATGAATTTTAAAAAGAAACTATTTACAGAAAAGTTGCCCTGGCGATGCAAATTAAATATAACTATTTTTCTGAAAGGCTTCAGATTTAGACCTGCAATATTTTAAATAGATGATTAACTGCCTGAAGTATTTACAGAACACATTTTATTATCTCAACAGTAGTTCCTTGAACAGGCTGATTCTTACAAAATGTAGCATGGAATAGGAAATAAAAGGAACTCTGACTTAGAAAAAGTCTTCAAAGCTTTCTTTTGATATGCATATTAAGTTATAGGAAAATAAGACAAGAGTTACATTTTTATGAATTGTTTCACTGGCATGAATTCCAATTGTAGTTTCACAGTGCCAGACTAACAACTGTAGGTTGAGACACCTGAAATTTCCCTTCAGAACAAAATAGTTGAGGAATAATAATTTTTCTATAAATTTAATTACCTGGTATACTCACCTGGAAGTGGTTTATGAGGAGGCAACTTTGGATTACTGCTTGGAGTATGAACACTGCATATCTTAATGAAACCAGCCATTAACATGATCAAGGCAATTCCCATAAGCAACACTGCCCACCAATAAGCCTAAAAACATTAAAAAAAATATTTTTGGGGGGGCTGGCACACATGCACAACAGACAGGGGTCACTGAATATAGTTTTCCTTTGTCTTTCAAAAGTCATCAAAAAGGTGTTCTGAAATATCACTTAAAAGACCATAACATTTTAAAGAAAAAAGTCCCCAAAGCTCTTACACAAAAACCCTCCAAATACTTCAAAACCATTCTATTATCAGAGGAGTATTTCACGGAATATACACTACAACAGAGCTATACAAGTCTAAAACAATCAACAGCTTACACAAAATTGACTATGCAGCTCTATAATGTTGTTTCATTGTAGCTCTCCTCCCAGTCTATTATTAGGAAAGTGTCATCTCATGCAATAAAAATAAGAAATGCTAAAGATCTATGTATTTAGTTCTTTAAAAGAAATCAGAGCATTCAGATATGAAAAGTTAAAACGGGAAAACCCAGTAAATTAGAAAAATGAACATTAACAACAAAGCAGATAGCGAATAGAAGCATTAACACAAAATATTTACTTCTATATTTGTTTCCATTCCCTTCAATCTGTCAAACTTGTTTGCTGCACTCAAGGTGCTTACAGAAAAATTAGCAAAAGGAGGACTGATTATACTTTGAAGAATGCTGAAGTACTGTATATGTATATACAGCAACATTTACAGCTGTGAATATTGATTAACAAGAAAATTTTCTATTAGACTGGTAAGATAGAAAACAACTTACCACAATCCATTCTGCAATATTTTCATATAGCTGTGGATTAAAGATTGCTTTCTTTAATCTAGCTAGAGGGCCATCAGCATCTACAAGCCGACACCTCATAAACACGTCACAGTAGCCTTTGAAATCATTACAAGGAGATCCAGGTTGCAAAGTAGTAGTTTTACGACCAAAGTATTTCTCCCACTGGTTAGAGCCTGTACTTGCACAAGTAGTTGGGTCCACTGAAAAGTGAATACAAATTAGATTAATCAAACTGTTACTGAATTAAAACACATGTGCATGAATACCTTGGTGTTCAACTGTTCAAAATGCTTTTGAAAAACTTCAAGTTTCTATTAATCTGTAAAAAAACCAAACTATATTGTTTCCTGCCACATACAAAGCAATGTCTATCTGAAACCAAGTATGAACAAAATCACAGTATGTTCTTAAGTCTCCAAAAACTAAAATACAAACACCACGAGAAGATTCCTCAGATACCTACTGCTATATTTATGCTTACAATTCAGACAAATCTTACTTTTTCTCATGCAGCAGACATGACACAATTCTCTATCGTCCTTGCCATCTGAACTAGCACATGTACATTCCTCCAAGCCATACTTCTCACAGATAGAGCCAGCACATTGCTGTTTGAGACAAAAGCATGAGAACACAAAAATCAATTTCACTTTTAAGCACACTGACATTAGGAAATACATTAATTTTTAATAGCTGAAAGCATAATTGTAGGTCTAAAGATGCTTATCAATAAAAATAATAGCTTTAATGTCTTCTAAAGTTTATAAAACAAAAAATATTACAGTTATTCAATTGCAGTGTTTAGGCTTATTTGATAATTGTTTTAAAGGAGATTTAACCTATTTTAACACTATCTTCTTTTGGGGTCTCAGAGTACCCTGCAAAACACTCTCAGCACTGCAATTCACACTGAAATATGATTACTTAAAATTGTGGTTAGGAAAATAAATCAAAAGCATGTCTTCAAAGAAAGCATGTGTCTCAGAAAATAATAATAGAAATTAGTGGCAGGAAAGATTCTGCATTTAATTCCACTGTGGAAGGACCCTTGAAATTCAAATAAAAAAATCAGTGTATTTATAATCTTGATTAAAAAAAAATAAAAAAAAAATCAAATGACTATGTAAAGGCAATTCCTCTATCTTTAAGAGGACTCTAAATTAGCTGAAAAATTATTACAAGCAGTATCATTTGATTAAAAACCTGGACTGTGGAAAACAGAGTCACAGCAACACAAGTTACAGCTCTAAGAGGATTACTTTTGCTTGTTTCTGCTTCCAAGTAAACATAGATCAATTTATAAGAGACTTCCCATCAATATTTCATAGCAACTGCCATGGACTCTTTAACCCAGGAAGCTAATGGCAGTTCAGAGTAATTCTATATGCTTGCACATCTGTGTTATGTGCACATGGGTAGAGGAACCATTAAATCAAATTCAACATGTATTGATAGCATATCTAACTTTCTACGGCAACAAAATTACTTGACCAAGACTGAAGAAAAATGGAAAGATGGAACTAGGAAATAGAACACTTTTATATTCTTGGTTTTTACAAAACACTTTAAATGGAACTTTCTCAAATAGTAAAGCTAGCTTCATATTTGTTACCTGCTACTTAGTATTTGGTGTACCTTCACAGTTATTTTGATTGAAACCAATAAATAAAATATTTTAATTGAAAAAGAGATTAATCTTACCCTCTTCTCCACTAAGTACTGAAACCATATCGCTTCATAATACAGTACCTTGCAATAAACAACTGCAGTTGCATATGATTGTAAAAAAACATACCCCATTTATGCAAACTTGTGTGTGCCTGTTGCAATCTGTGAAGTTTGGTTTAGGCTCAGATGCTGGACAGAGAGCACTGACACCGTTACACATTCCTTCTCTTGCACAGTCAGAATCATTTCGACACTTATCAGTCTTCAGTTTGAAATTACATTGTGCAGTACAGCAAGGGCCTTGACTAGGGCTAGAAATAAACAGAAAACATGGATGTAAAGAAGCAGCATGAACAATTCCAGAAGAACTATTAATCCTGAAACCTACTCAAACACTCAACATATTTCTGATTTGTGCTAAGTAAAATGTGAATTGAACATAATTTTTTCTATCCCTTAAGGTAACAAAAGATTACTGCACTGAGTACAGATTTCTTAGTCATTGTAGTAACCAATTAAACTATTCACATTATATGAGCAAAACAGTACAAGCACATTTTAAATTAAAGTACATAGAAAATAACAGCAGTTCTAAGTTTGTATATACAAAAACATTCAATTAGCAAGTTGGCAAAATTAATTCAGGAACAACTGATTAGTTTGACAGTATCAGTTTCAATGTAATAAGTCAAGATTTATCTGTCACTGATTAACATACCTAACAAATTTTTTTCCTACCTTCTGCAGCCATACCACTTACATTGGTTAAATAAACAAGAAAAGGGAAGGTGACAGTTCAAGATCTTGTACCAGAAACCAGTCAGCATACTAACAAATTTTGGGGGAAGGAAAGATTTGTCAAAAGAAGCCATATAGTTTTCACCAGTTCCCCCAAAACGCTTGGGCTCCTTTCTGTCACAGACATCAAGGCATCTGAGCCCCTTATGCTATGTACACCAATAATCACACCAGCATATCTGGTGAAACAGCAGGAGACAATTTCTCTTTCTGAAGCTGTGTTTGAGTACATATGCCATTACAAGCAGAAGAGTGAAGGTTATAAAGCATATGTGACTACTTGACTGAAGCTAAGCCTCCTGAGTTCTCATCTCAAATTATTCTGTATCTCAACACTATTCACAGTGTGCTCATTGGCATTCAGTAGATATCAGAAGACAGCACAGACCTTCTGCAGGTCAAGGTCTCTCTATTTTAAAACTACTGCAAGCTAAGAAAAAGAAAAAAATCACTTATGTCACTCATGAAAAAGACTAAAAGACAAGTAAAGCAGCTGGATAGTTACCATAGTTTTCCTAAAATGTATTTTAGTATGTTATTTATGTGATCCTTTCTTATACTTGGATTTGCTTTATATGTCTTTGGGAACCTCTTTGTTCAGCAGAATCGTCAATCCTAATAGAACTGGAAAAAAGGGAATCCTAAACCAAAAATGATGCAGCAATTAATCTTTAAGACTGTTCCAGCTGGGCATAAAACAAGACTACAGTCAGCTGAACACACGAGAGCAAAGAAAGGAGGTGATGGTGGCACCTGGTGTACTCAGAAGGAAACAGTTCCTCACCACAGGTGCAACATAAAACAATCTCAGAAACCAATTATAAAATGAGGCAATGTAAGGCCTTTATTTTGGCAGAAATAATAAGAATTTGTAAGGGAGCAGGGAGAAGACATGCAGAATTATTGCAACTATGAATTCACAGGAGATAGTCCTTCTACCATGTCTACACTGTCAAATACATTTTAACAGAAGGTGCTACTTTTACTTCCACTCCCAGGATGACAAAGATCATTTTTAGGGCAGGAAAGTTTAACTGGAAAAAATTATGTAAGTTGTATTAAAAAGTTGAGCTGGTTTAGAGGTAAAAATAATAGTAATTTTCCCTTCATCTTTGGCTAAGAATCTAACCAAATGTTAGATTTATGTCAGCCTCTAGAGAGGAACAAAAGCTCATGCCTTTCATGTGAAAAAATCCATGTAAGTTCTCAGATGAGGTAAAAATTTAACATGTATATTAAGTCACGGAACTAAAAGATAGAAGTTGACTTACTTCACTGTAAGTCTTATGATCTTTAAAACTTCCTCTTACAAATCACTGTGTACACAACACTGCCAAGATACAAGGTGACTTAAAATCAGTTTAATTTATAAAACAAGCATAAAACCTAAAATCAATCAACTATATCCTTCAGCCATCTTCCAGTTTGGCAATGCTGTAGAAATAGCACTAGGATAGGATCTAATTTCATAATATCCTCTGTTATCCTTTGGGCAATTAATACTTTCCTGTATCTATCATAAAAGCAGCATCCTGGTTGTGTTTTTCTGAATCACACAGCTTTTGCAAGACTACTGCACAACAAATTTTCAATAAAGGTAACAATTTCACACGTATTTATCTGCACCAAATACTATGTTAGCATTGATACAATCCACTGTTACGTTGTTTTTTCAAAAGCTAGAGAACAGTCATATAAGGGTAAGCAAGCTACAGTTAGCACCAGGAATTGCATAGCATAATTGTGCTTATGAACTTCTCTCTCATTGTACAAGGCATTTTAAAGAAACTAAATACTTTAAGAATAATGCAGGTAAACAGATTCAGATTCTAAAATACCAACTATAGCTACCTAAATCCCAAAAAATAAAGTGTACTGTAACAGACATGCACAATACCTGCAGTATTTGCCTGGTTTTAACTTGCATTTTTTATCTTCTGATTGGTTTGCATCATAACAGCATTCATCTTTACACTGGTCACTATATCCACAATCACACTGTTCTCCTTGTTCAACCAGTCCATTACCACAGATGGGTTGACCAGACTCTGAAAAATGCCAGTATATTTATGTACAAAGCAGTAAAAAGTATATGCAAATAGACTTATAAATGCTAACATTGACTTGCAACAGTATCCAGCTAATTGTGACTGAAAATACCTGGTCAGGATGGACTTCAGACTAGGACTCAAGTCAACTTGCATTATTTGCCTGCCACCCAGCTTAGTCATTTCTACAATTAATACAATTTTACGCTTCTGAATAAAAGGTTTCTGCTGATAGCAGTGGGAGTTTCTTGTGTGGGTAGCAAATCAACAGTGATAAGATGAAGTTTTCTGCTAAGCCTCCAACAAAGCAACACCCTTTCTTGCATTTGTTCTCCTTTAACAGAGTCTGAGGACCTTAAGGCAAAAGCTGATGGTACTGTGGTGAACCATTACTACTCCAAAACCCAAACCTATCAACTGCACAATCTCACAAAATTTGTGAGCACTCACACATCACAGACTCTAGAAAGAAAATGCCTGCAAAATTCTATTTAAACATTAAAAAAATAAGGATTTCCTGTATTTTAATTTGTGCTCCTTACCTCTTGTCCTTTCACTGGGCAGTGAAAAAAGTAAAGAAAATAGTCTGGCCCTGTTTTCTTTACTCCCTCCCACCAGGCATTTGTAAAGACAGACTAGAGTGTCCCCCCGCCACCCCGCCCCAGCCTTCTCCAGACTAAGTAGCCTCAGCTCTCACAGCCTTTCCTCGTGTGTCAGACACTCCAATCCCTTAATAATCTTTGTGGTCCTTTGCTGGACTCACTCCAGTATGACCATGTCTTTCTTGTACTGGGGAGCCCATGAACTTGACAGAGTACTCCAGATCTCAAATGCAATTCTTTACTTACAGAATCTTTCGGTAAACTAAAAAAAGGGTAAGATAAAAAAGTAAAAAAAAAAAATTCTAATTAAGCATAATAGTAACAGCTTAGCCATTCTGCTTTCAGGATCACTAAATACATACCAACAAAACAATTATTTCTCTTTTTCTCAAGAACTTGGCTGATATTTCGAATGCTACAGATAGAGAACTTGTTGTTGTTGAGTTTGTCCCCAGATGTAGCTCTTGCATACATGATATAATTGCCATTTTCTTTCTGTCCCAAGTTCTTGGACTCTCCCGGAGTGCACTCCATTCCAGAATCATGCTGCAAAACAATTATTTTAAAACTATTTCTGACAAGACAGCTTCTCTAATTTTTTGCTCTCTTTTTACACATGTGCAAAAGTAACCTGATTTGGTAACCTTAACACAGTGAGAATAAAAGATTCACTAAAACCGAAACACCATCTTAGAGTCTAAGGTTTCTTGAAATACAAAAAGCATACAGGAAACAAAGGTTTGTTTGGCTTGTTGTTTAATTTTTTTCCCCAGATGACTGTAGCAAGTATCTAATTTCTTAAGTTTCAGCTTCTTTGCATTCTCTGAAATGTATATCCCAAGTGCCTGTCCTGATATGAATACTGACTCGAAAAAGTTGCCATCTCCTAAAAAGAGTGACTTTATGATCCCAAAATGATAATAAATATTCTGTGGAATAAAAGTAGGAGTTTAACTGAAACAGCAGTCCATTCATTTGCTTATTTGAAGGAGGCGCAAAGCCATCTTCAGAATAGAGCAGAAGTCTTTTTCCGTTAGCCAGTGTCTAGATCTATACAATATTCAGCATGATGAACAAAATGCATTATCAGTTGGCATACTAGCAGTTAGCAGACTGACAACATACTAAGTTCTTAAGTGTAAGAGGAACTCTAATGCTGTTCTAATGCATCCAACTTTCCAGAAATATAACCTGTGTCTCCAAAAGTAAGTAAGTAAATTTAAAAATTTTCAACACAGTGAGAGAACTATATAATTTATTACAGTTTGGTAGAACCAAACATATCCAGGGAACTATGTGAAAGTACAAGATGCAACTTAGAGTAAAATTAAAAGAACCATCTTCCACGCTGATCCAAAACATGTTTCACTCAATGGGACTGGTTTTTCAGTTTCACATGCTCATGTTATACTCGGAAGGCTTGTCCCCACTCAGAGCAGCAATATTAGGGATTGTATCAAGGCACATGAAGAAAGCATTCACATATGAACATCTGTTCTGGAAGAACTCGTCATTCCTGTCATATCTTGATTTCATTTTACTTCCAAGAATTTCATTTTACTTCCAAGAGTAGAAAGCCTATATGCTTACATTTAAAAATAAAACCCCCAAACCAGAAAACTTTGTTCTCATCTCCAGCAAAATGAAAAGCCTTTCAGCTTACCACAAACAAATCCTGTCAAATCAGTGATTCTTCTTCCCCTCTAGGATCAACTAAAATACATTTAAAACATGTGTGCGACCCTAGTCTTCAATAAAAATCAGGGAAGTTTTTAGGGAATAATAATATAGTCCCTTTATAAAAGATTGAACTAGCAGAATTAAACAATTCACAAAATCCAGTTACAAATCCAAATACTGTCAAATACTCATAAAAAGGGGCTTAGTTCATCAATCTCCTTTTTTGTTTGTATACAATGTGCATGCACATATGCATATGCAGTCATGATCATATTTTCCTTGTTTATAAAAGTAAAAACTCCATTCACAAGCCATGTAGTTCAAAATGGTTGAACGTGAGTTAACAGATCAATAGTAATACTCACAGGTGAACCAAAGTTATGCCCAACCTCATGAGCAAAAGTAATATGAGAAACCTTGGGAGGAACATGAGAGCCATAGTTCTGAACAGTGATGATTCCAGTGTTCAAAGACTTCTTCTTACCATCAGAATACAGTTTGCTCTTTTCACATATTCCACCAGAGCTCCCTGCATTTAGACAAAAGTAAAACAGTTAGTCGCTTAAGAAAAGAAGTACTGTGTTACTTTTCTAGTGATATTTAGAACAAGAAACAGCTTGCCTCCTCAGTGGATGATTAGGGACTAGAAGTTCTTCTGTGTAATTAATATAACCCAAATTTGAAAGTAGATTAGATTTGTCTACACTAATGTTCTCAGCACTGAATGGACACATTTGCACAAGAAGTTAGCTGTTTTAGAATAGCCATTAGGAGCTATTTTGGCGCTTTCACTGCACGGACAAGCCCTGATTTCATCACACTTGTAGTACAAGACTAGCAGGGTATGATGTCCAATACAGGTAGCCTCAATCTACATCCCATTTGGATTTCACTAGGTTAAAAAAAAAAAAAAAAACAAAGGAAAAAAATCCTCACAGTAAAATCACAGGAGATGCTCCCTCATGGTAAGAGAATTTATAACATGCCTAAGATTAGCTATATGTCCTTGTCAGCAAAAGTGACTCATTTTTGCACCATACAAACTAAAGCTGAAAATGCTTTTGATGTGTGGGTTAATCAGATCCATATTTAGAAGGTCAGTCAAGTGCACACTTACTGTTTGGAAGAGTCTCTAAACTGTGACTTTAATTTCACCAAATTTTTCCATTACTTGAGGTTGTACTGAGGCATTAACAGTGCTCTAAAATTCAGCTCTTCTATCGCTAACATAAATGGTGTCTAAAAAACACTCTAAAGAAAGTTTCCTTGCTTTCATTTTAGTGAAAGATCCCATTTAACCTATGTCAGTATGTGCATTAAGGAAGAAAATCTCTCAAAGCTACTTCATTTTTCTCAATTCAATCTAGTTTTGGGAGCAGTGTTTATGGAATGCACATTCCAATTCATCTGGTGTTTGCTCAGCCTACACACTAGACTAGTTATCACAGACCCAGTTTCTTATTTACATAGGCCACCTGTGTATTATTTTTCCTATGATTCTTCCACAGTCACGAAGGTTAGTCCTCACAGATCCCTCTAACTACACTCATTGGTCCACTGTTCTGTTACCCATCTGAATATTCTACTAATACTTATTTGAGCATTCTAATCTCCTAAAATCAAAGTCTGAGAGACTGTCATACCATGACAGTTTTCCACATAGCTCCAGTACTCTATAATCATCATGTGCTTTACAGGAAAGCACAGCAGTAAAAAAAGTGAGGTTATAATGTACAGCTACAACTTATCAATGGTTTAATGTTTCTTCCACAATTACTTGAATTCTGTTAAACTCTTGATAATGTTCTCATGAAAGTATCTGGTCTCTTGCAAAGTCTCATAGAACCTGTTATTCTTATGCCTAAATTCTTATTATATAGAAATCACTCGAGGGAAAAAAAAAAAGGTAAGACTGTTCCTTATGAATTTCTGATTTTCATTTCTGTGAAAGTTTCCACAGTTTGAAATTTGTGCTGAGCTATAACTAAAGAATTTGTATTTACTCAAATTTAAAGACCAATGACTTTCAAATACATCATTTTATAAAACTAATACATGCATGACAAACATCGAGATGCTGCACATGAAGACCATTGTTTGCTTTTTTTTTTTTACATCAAGAGACATACTTCAGATTCAAAATACACAACTAGATAGAAACTACTGAGAAGCAGTTCAAGAAGAGTCACATGATAATTATTTTGGTATCTCCCAAAACAAGATCTAACTGATTTTATTAAAAAAATTAAAAAAAAAATTTCTTCCATTACTACCTAGAAAACCTAAGGATAGTGTAGTTCTACTACTAAATTCAAACTGCATAGTTGTAAGCTCTGTTTATATACAGCAGAAATACTTGTTTCTTCTGTCACTTTAGTGGTCACTCATGCCTGTCATAAATAGCAAGCCATCCAAGTAATACCACCTTTGTCTAACAAAAGAAATTTTTCTTTATTGTTCAAATATTGCTCATCAGAAAGACAGCAAGACTAATTGAAGTGACACATGATATACTCTCTATATTTAAAAAAAAAATCAAACCACACCTAACCAAAATTGTGGAAAGGTGGTTATGAGATTTTTGTCTACTTGCGGTCAATTTAAATGACATAGTTTCTATGTTTCTTCTTTGTACCTACCTACAATACTTTATATCATAGCACTGAAGGTTTGGATATACTTACCTGAAGGGGCTCCAACCCAAGCCAGACCAAGGACTCCATCATCAAAGTCACGGTCTGTAAACACATATGCCAAGCAGTAATCATCATGATTCTGTTCTGAGTTCAGTTCCAGAAACTTTTCCACACCAATGTTAGGAAATCTGAAGGGATTGGAAGAGTCCTTCTCATCTACAGTTGTGTTAATCTAAAAGTAAATTGAAACAAACTGTAAGACATGATTCACTTTCACTTGACTTGTAAACACCAGCTAAGGGGCTTACTGTTGTCAGTACCTTGTTATGTTAAATAGTTGAAGGTGCTACAGGCCTTAACAAATTACCACCCCAATATTTAGAAAATCAAGTTCTATGATAAAGAATTGCATTTGTGTAATAAATCAAATAAATCCCTGGTCCCTCATTTCTTTTTTTCCCCCCTTTCCATCAGCACCCAAAAATTTATCCTCTTAAATCATCACTTTTAGAAGGAACTTTCAACCTTGAAAGCCATTATCTACGTTAGTATTACAGTTCCTGGTGAGCAATACCATCTATTCACCACACAGTCAACACTGCTGAAAAGTAAGAAGTCGATTCCTATAAAAATTTACTACAGCTTAATAACAGAAACAGCAGGCTTTTGACAATAAACACTAAAACTAAACCAGACAAATGGGTTAGGGAACCATTTACTACAGAGACACCTGTGTTATGATAATCCTAACAATAAATGGTTACAAGTGAGCAGCAACAGGACTTTTGACGAATACAGCCCCCAAACAGTATCAGTGAAGCTGAAAGTATTTCCAATACAACTTACTCTTATTCGTTTCACCATGAAGCTGATGTTACGGATTCCTGAGAAATCTGTTGACTGGTAAATTGTGTCAATCGCTTTGACATGGCTGGATATCTGTCAAAAATGAAAGTATCTACAGTTCAAAGATCTACGCACTATGCTACAGCTAATCTTAAATAGCAACAACTTCAAGGCCTATATTTTACCTGTAAGTATTGCCCCATATAAGTTTTAACAGGCCTTTTTAATCAAATGCACATAATGGAAATAAATCACTACATAACTAGTATCTGCACTGCCACCATGCCAGATAACAGCAAAGTATTCTGCTGTTTAGTTTTTAAACACATAATTCTATCTACTGTTCAGATACCTGTTTGTGATACTCATTTGATTCACTGCTACGATAAGATAGCACTACAGTTAAAATTGTATTCAAAGCACTGTATTTCTTCTTTTGAGAAAAAAATTTACTTGTTACAGCAATATTCTTTCATTTTTAGTAGAACACAAAATGTGAAAAAAATCATTTACCTTATCCAAGAGCACATAGACATGCTAACTCATTCAAAACCTGATTTTTAAGGCAACTTCAGAGCTTTGGAAAAATTTACTCAAATTGAACTGCATATGTACAGTGTGATGAATAAATAGTAAAATCAGATTTGCAAGTGGCAGTGAAACTTCAGACTTCAAGAGAAGCATGTTAACATGCTAGTTATTTTTTTAGCAAATGATCAGAAAAAACCCACCAAACTTTTTTCAGTTAATAGTACATTGACAAATGAAAAGAGTCTGCCTTTAGTAGCCACTGTTTTTTTAACCTTCCACTATATCACACTACAGGAACAGATCTCTGTGTCATTAGCTCACAGCGTTTTGAACTATGGAAGGCTATGCAAGTGTTAACACAGAGGCTTGGCAGGCTGTCAAACAGAACAGAACTCTTCAGGAAGTATTATTTTTCTGAGTAAGAACTGGGAAAAGCCAGACCACAAGCCTTGCTCAGAGCTGCTAAACAAAGCACAGCTGCCGCTATTAACTAAAGGAAGCACAAGTGCCCAGGACTTTTCTCACAGATACATAGCATCTTTTTTGTGAAATAAAAAAAGCTGTTTCAATAATGTAAAGATCACTGTAATAAATTAAACAAGACATTCTAAATTAAATAAGAAATAATATACACTATTAAGTTATATGAAATTTATCAGAAATACACAAATAAAGTAAAAGCAGATCATTTAAAACAAAGGGACTGGAAATACCTGTGCAATCACAGCTTCCCTTGTTCCATAATGCTTGTAGAACAGATGATCAGTCTGAATATACAGTTGACATGTATTTTTTTCAGCCTGAGTGGCACGCTTTTTTCTTAAAAGCTGTGGACCATTGTTCTTAGGCTCTTCAAAAGGCTTCTACATACACACAGGAAAAAAAAACATTAATTTTGTAGATCTACATGCTGCACTAGGTTACCTAAAAATAGTCATGTATTTTGCTAAACATACTGCACTAATACAAACAGATTTTCATTCTTTTTCTTTAACCCACAAAGTGTCATGAATTTTGACTTCAACTATGTATATTATAGCCAGTTTTCATGTATGCCATCTCTTTTTAATGGTATCTCAGTCAAACCCTTCTGTGCATTTCACATTACAAAAGGCAGTCGATGTGAAATATTTTTTCATTCATGTGACCTTTGGAATTTTTCTTTTTCATGGTCCTTTTCTAAGATGAACAAACAGTTTGTAGATTAGAAGAAAACAGTGCTGTGGGACTTAAGCGCACCTTCCCTAACACAGGTTATTTCACACTGTAATTACTTTAGTCAGCTACCTCAGCAAACAGAAATACTTAAGCACTTCAGCATGGAACAAATGGTACACTAAACATGAGGTTAAAATAAAGCTCATTAGTCAGAGCAGTATCTGCTAACGTATTTGCCTTATGGTATTCACTGGTTGATGGCCCATTCTCTCCATGAAGTTTTACAAGTAAATTTTTGGGAAAGCATGTTATCGTTACCAACACTGAGTTGTGTAATAGTGTTGATTATTTACATTGTGACTCCAGAAATTAAGTTTAAGCTGCTGATGCTATTTAACAAGCCATATTGCATAGTTTTGTTGGCATATACTTAACTGACACCACAAAATTATGTCAAAACTTGAAATGGCTCAGAACATAGGTAACACCAAGAGAAACTCAATTTACAGTTGAAAGTATTGAAAAAAATCCAATTTCATGACAGGTGGTGCAAACCTGAAGGCAAAAAAAATGCAGGACTCTAAGCAGGTACACAAGTCCCTTCCATAGACCATTTACTTCCTACTACAGACAATGTAGCATGCTGTAACCCCTTCAATCTTTCAATATAGCTAGACCCTCCCACTCATATCACTTCATTTACCACTGAAAGCACTCAGATATTGCAAGTGTGTTACATTAACATAACTTGAAAATCTAAATGTTATTACTCTTTAAGGACCAATTATTACTTAGAGATCAAGGGATCTTGAAACTCTTCTTTCTCAACTGCAATAAAGTACATTCCTCATCTCAAGCTTGATTTCCACATCCATCTAAAATTCAAATTGCTGAAAAATCCGAGGTCATGTAGGATTCCTTAAGCCTATGAGCTAGCACATCTATGCTGTAGAAGCAATGAGAAAAATAATTTAGAAAAATTACATTAAAATATTGCTAGAGTTTTCTTAGTAGGTACCTCACAACGTTGAGGGATGATGACTGACCCAAAGTAAGAGAGACAGCATATAAGAAATAGGAAATTACACTAATTTCTAATCAACATAATCCATTAGCCTATGTTGTACCTCTGTTGTTGGTTCTTCTATACCAGTCATCTGGTACTTCCGCATTCTTTCAAATACTGAATGATCTGCACAGCCTCCTTGGGGTCCATATTTATGTGGATATTCTAAAAAGAGGAAGACCAGGCTGAGTTTTAAAATTCCAAGTACAAGTGCAAAATATGGCTGTATCACTGCAACTTAATTCAGTTTGTGTCCAGTACTGCTCATGTGGTTTTAGGGAAGCATGCTAAGATTCAAGCTTTATGCAGCTGTCTTGTTTCATGAAACATTTCTACTGAGATACATTTTTAGTTTTACAAACAGAACAAAACTGACAATTGCTTCATAACATTGTTTTCCTACAGACAGCAAAAGAAAATATGATGAGCAACGTCTAACATAAGAACGAGCGCTCGTATTTACACATTTGTACTGATGTATCTGCTTAAACTAACAGCACCCTTAAAAAAAACGAACTCGCAAAGGAAAACTATTAGAGATCAAGTATACTAAAGACTGCTTGGATAAGAGAAAGGTTTTTTTATTCTACTTGGTAAATTAAAACTAGGAAACCTTGCTAACAGGATTCTATTACTTTATTCATCTGCCATGGAATTTTGTAAACGTTTATATTATGCAACTTAACTACCAATACATAAGAACTGAAACAAATGATCCTTGGTTTCAAACTCAACTCTACAATTCTAGAATTACAAGTTTGCTAGAAATTTTATTGACAAGGTGAAATGCACAATTTCCATTCTGGAAAGTAAACGAAAGTATGTGTATGTATATAGGCACATGTGTAGATTCAAAAGTTACAGAATTACGGATATATTTAAAACTTACAATCAAAGCAAAACAAGACTGAAAAGAAACATTTTCATCACCTCCTTACTATAGCTGACTGTCTACATTTTAAAAACAAACTTGTAGTACTATGCAGGTACACAGCAGTTGAACATGCTAGTGATCCAAACTAGCTCAGTGAGAGTATCATACAACTGGCTGCTTACCAAGGGTAATTCTTTCAATACTTGTCAATGCAGATATCATTGCGTGTGAATGTGCTTCAGGTGCATATGGTTAGGTTTTGACTGTTAGTACCTGCTGCAGATTTGTATGCAACCTGTACTTGCAGAAGCTTCCTCTGGAGATGAGAAGTACTGAAGGGAAGAGGTTTTGCTCCTTCAGTTTCTCCGCAGATTGGATCCCATTACAAATTGGTGCCTCAGTAAGAAATAATGGAGTACAGATTATGGGAGCCACATATGTAAAGACTTAAGGAACCAGTTTGTGTAGGGCAAACCATAGTTTTACTATAATCTCAATGGGGTGCAGGTTTTGTCAGAAATGTGTTAACTTTACCAAGGTTTGTTGGGTTTTAGGAGTTGTTGTTGGGTCTGTTTCTTGTTTTTGGTTTTTTGTTGGGTTTTGTTTGTTTTTTTTAAAGGAAGTGTGAAGATCAAGAATCACAGAATAAATGGAACAGACACATAGGAGTAGATTTATAAAGCCTAAGACCTGGCACTGAGGACCTGATGTCCACATTATATTCATTTCAGGGGATTTTACCCTGGACTAGGCTCTAGTCTGGTTCTGTGGAGTCAAAGCCTGTTAGTGGTTGGAGCACAGTCCATGCACTCTTGGAGCATGCTCTCTGGTACAGTTTCATCTGACAGTTGCCTTTAATTATCTTTGATTCTCGTACCTGTTTCCTGCAGTCATACTGTATGATACTGCTAATATTTCAATATATAAGCCCAACTTCCTTCAGATTTTCTCCCTATAACATTAAGCTCTAAACTTTGTATTTCAATCATTAAAAGCTAGGGGAAAATTAAATAGCAAACAGAAACAAAAAAGAAACCATATCCTCAGCATACAGCTGAATTTGAGTTCTGAAAAAACCCAAACCATTTAATATGAGTTTATGCTCTGAACCACCCAGAGCCCAGATTCAGTGGACCCACCGATAAGCTTAAGAGGACTGATCAAGAAATAAAAGATGTCTTCTAACTTTCATTCCTCCTGATCACACATATTAAACAAGTATTTAAAGAGGTCATGTTTAACGCTTTTTTTTTTTTTAAAAAAAACCTAGTTAATGACAAATTACATTAATTTAAATATAGTTTATTTTTTTTTTCCCAAATTGGGTCCTTTTCCAGGTACAAAGTATTTTCTTGCAACTGTAAACTTTGCTTTAGTGGGAAAGAACCAGATTTAATAAACACGATTCTTGGCAAAGAAAGCTTCAGCCTAAGAGTAATTGAAAGATTATAGTTGGGTGTAAACAGTTATTCATTATCTCACTAGGAAATTAATCTTATCTACTGTAAAGGCATCCAAGTACAGCATTATATTTCAAAACTTACTTACAGTCAGAATTTTAGATAAGTTGCTCCAACATACAACAAAATCACTTTTTCTTTGGTCAACTTTATGTCTACTCTGTTTTGACTAGTGTTTACCAACGAGATTACTAGCAAAATCTTGATAATGTGTAGGAAGTAATTTATATGGATTCTAATAAGGTTGTTTCTTTAAATTAAGAAGAAGAAAACCTTTTGAGAGGTAACAATGACTGTGCAGTACTTAGGTTTTTGAAAAAACTGGTAATTTCTTTCATTTTTCCAGAAATGTTCATGAATTACTGTTATTACAACCTTGAAAGTTTATTTAATAATTTTTTGCATATTGATTTCCCACATTTAAATTTCTAACACCACACAAACACCATTTGTGAACTGCTGTCTCATCACGTTCCTCCAAGTATGGTTAGCCCTAGAATAGTGCCAGAAGAATGAAGAGAGAGGAAAGAGAAAAAAAAAAATGCTCTTACTGTAAGCCACCTCACCAAATTTGATTAGCAATGTAGTGGAACGCTGGCTTTGCTATAACCAATATTAAATGTAAGACTGCTCACTCACTGCTGAGGTCACTGTACTTTTTGAGATCCTGTACTACCACTAGATTGGAGTTAAGATTAAAGGATTATAGATGCAGTCCTTCCCTTCTCCATCTCCACCACTTTTTTTTTTTCCTCCCACCTTAATATTAAAAAACCCTCTACTCTATGTAACTAGAATTCTCATTACCCACTACCCTATTTCACACTGCCGACCACTCATCTCTGCAACAAAAGCACATTACACAAGGGCAGAGCAATGGACAACACCACCTCACCATCTACATAAAACCATCGTAACTTTAAAGCAATTCCTGCAGGTGGTAACTGCAGGAATCCACAGAAATTAACTGGAAACATGACTGCACAGCATATTTTGCACCAGCACAAAATACCATTTTCTGCTGTCACCACACTTCTATTCATACTCTGTGTCATTATGACAATTGACAGAACAGTACTCGAAATAAATGCTCTCAGTGCATTACACAAAATAAGCAGTCTTTCCTCTGTATCTTGTTTCCCAAAGGGGTTAGGAAATCCCTTAATACTTTTTTAATACTGACTACCTGCAATTCAAACAAATATTTCTCACTTCAAAAGTAATAATCTAGTAAGAAACACTGTAAAAGCATGACAGTTAAAATTATAGAGAACTTAACATGAAACAATCTACAACAGCAATTGCCAAGGTTCTGCATGTGCTGGAAGTGACAAATCCCCTATGGAGAGATTTGAATCCACCCTGCTAAACACAGGAGGCAGGTAACATAGGATAGTTCACTTTGGAACCACGTCTAGCTTACAGAGAAAGTTGCATACAAAGCTTTCTTTTGATAAATGCTGCATTACCCCCAAACCATGAAGGCACTGTTCTCTCTCCACCTTTTGAGACTTCCTACTTCCACCATCCCCTGCAGCAGTTCCATTTCTGGAGCCAAGCAGGAACTACGTGGTGTCAGATGACTTGGACAGCTTTGACCCACATCACAGAAGTCTTGTGATGCTTTTAAATGCTTTTGAGAGGTACAGCCTTCCACCAGCTCTTTGATCCCTACCACAACCCTGTGAATTGATCAAGTGAAAACACATGCTTTTACCATTAAATGATTGCTTACAGTGAACGCAGAGTTGAGGAACAACTAGAATCCTACTTTCCATCAGATCTATAAAAGAAGAGTTTAATCACAGGATCAATTCTCTAACTAGAGAAAATCCTCAGGCAAAACAAATCCTTTATTTTTCTTTTCCCATACTGTCCAGTTTCCCATTTTACACTTTCAATTTTTGTACAGCCTGACAGAATGTTAAAAATTAGTAAACAATAAAAATGTAATAAAAACCTAAAAACCCAACAAAAATCTTGTCATTTCATACTTTCTGACCATATCTTATCCTAACTAGATGGCAGATCATCATTAACGATATATATTCTTTTAAAAAAGGTACTAACTACCACAAAGGGACTCCTGATCACATGAATTTTTTTCTTTTACTTGTCAGTAAATAGCATGATCTGTTAATCATTTAGGTTAAGTAGTTAACTGATAATGGATTTAGGCATCTGGGGCAAAGATGAGACATCAAACTTCCATTAAAACTGACAAAATTTCAGTTCTTCAGCAGCCAGAGATTTGCCCAATAATAGCAAAAGCAATAGTGTCAGAACAAAATTCAAATTTAAGCAAATACAAAAAAAAAATCCTTATTGAAGATTTCAATCTAAGCAGTCCGCCACACTGTGCTCCCATGACAACTACCAAGTAGACCTTAGTTATTAAATCGACAACCACAATATGAAAAAAAGAGAGCCCTCGCTAATACCTAGTTTGAAATGGTCAGTTCATTCAGCAGATAGGGTTTTGGAAAATTACAAAATACTTTATTTTCTTTTCTCAGTTGTATAGTTTTTCCAAGACCATAAAGACAATCAAATGACCATGTTCATTTTCCCGAGGGTCTGGAACAGGATTTTCCTGTCTGCTGTTGATTGAGAAAATACCGATTTTGTTATTTTACAATATGAGCTCAGGGATACATTTTAAGCATATATGATTTCAATAAAGTAAATATGGTTCCAATGAAATCCTAATCCTTAAAGAAAAGTTTCTAAAACCTTTTAATGAAAATAGCAGTTTGCACCTTTCTAGCACTAAATTATAGAACAGTTTGATCAAGAGAGGTTTAGAAGCTAAAATAATTCAACTTGTGTTTCGAGTCATGAACAGAAGGCTGCCTTCCACTGGTCACCACATCCACTGTAACAAAAGCTGCCTTATGAAGTTGACAATATAATCCCTATTTACAAAACCCCCTTTTGTTTAACTACTGAATAAGAACTCATTGAGATGCTAATCATATGTTGCATTGTGATTTCTGAAAAGCACTAAAAAGCGTATTGTTTCAAAAGGCTGAAACATAGGTGACCAAAAAATATCCCAAAAAAAGCAAAGATGACTTCTTCCTCCAGTCTCTCCTGAGTTAGAAATGTGAGCATTTTTGTTGCTTTTGTCCAGAGTAAGATGCTAGTGGTTTGACTCTTTCACAAGAGTTAGCCTTAGACCAGAGCAATAACAACAGATTTGCATGCTTGTTTTTATTTTTAAAGCTACTGTAAAGCTTAGCTTTTTGTTGTTGGGATTTTTTTTGGAGCTGCCATCCAATGCAAAAGTAGCTCTCATGACAGGCAAAAAAATTTTAGCCTCAGAAGCGCTATTCAGAAAGTGACGGAAGCAGTTGTAGACTTCAGATATTTCAGACCACAGAAATCCTAGAGGCATCTAGGATACCAATGAAAAAAGTTAAAACTATACAATCAGAACGCATGCACATCAGACACTGCATTGACAGCAACCAATGGGAGTGGCACATTTTCAAATAGTGCTGCTTAGCCTTAGCTCCAGGATGGGCTATTTTCAACCATACTGAGCAAGCAGCAATGTTCACTCACTTGGTGATTTGGAAGCCATATTGTACTGTTGCTTTAATGTGGCTCTCTGGAATAGATTTAGACAATCCTCTCTGATAATCTGATTTTGTTTCTAACTGATGGTTTTGATGCACTAGATTCAAGAGGAAAAAACAGTGTAAGCCAACATGCCATCATCTGACAAATTTTAAAAAAACCCCACTCATACCCTGCTCCCACTCACTTTAGTAAGACATTAATATGAACCAATTTCATCATTGGCTTTTTCTAGCCCTCAAGTGATCCGTTTACTCCCCCAACAGACACCACTTCTACAAAACAGCAATACTAACTTTCATAAAATCAAATTATCTGCTTCAAGGTACAGTTCTCTTTCTGTCATTAGTTGATAACAGTGAAGAGAGTATTTTTAGTCACCCACTATTTACAGCATAAGGAACTGGGACAAGAGAATCTTCTTGCTTGTTCCACCCCTTAGAAACTGAGCAAATCACTTTACTGCTTTATGTCCCTTTACTTCCCTTCTCCCTCTCTTTTCTACAACAGGGTTAATAAAACCCTTTGTAAAGCAGACAGTGACTTATTTACAGAAAGTGCTATTTAAGTGGTAGTCCTGTATTCCCACTATCAAGCAGTGAATTGGACTGTTTGGTGAGACTTCTAAAACATACCAAAGAATTTAGAAGCGTGTGCAAATTATTCACAGAAATGTTGTTATAAAAGATGTATCTTACGGTTTCACACCAGGCTTTTGTAATTTTGTTATTACTTTTCCCCACTACTCTTCTGTTACAGCAGCAAACCCTGTAATACTCCAGCAGCAGCTAGCAAGGCAAACTGCCTTTTCAGACTTTCACCTGCAATGCTCCCTAGAGCTGAAAATTAAACGCATCCTGCAACTTCTCTTTGCGAATCAAAAGCAGTATATGAAAGACTATCCTATAAAGTTACCTCGTTCTCAAATATGGGTCTTGTAAGCACCAGGAAAAATATACATTTAGTCAGTCAGAAAACAAGTCTAGCTCACAACGTACATAAAATTCAGTAACTGCATTCATTCAGAAGCTCTTTAAAATTATGCAACTTCTATTTGATTTTGGGTTAGTAATCATATTTACAGAGTGGTGTAACAGGAAGGACAAACATATCTGCCAGCTCACAGCAATTTTAACATACTCAAAGACAGCACATATACTGCCACTGAATGCAAAATACAGCTGTATTCCAGAAGCTTTATTCAATTAGAAAAAAATAAACAAAATTTGCTGAGTTTTTAGCAGGGAAAGATCATTTCTCTTCACTGCATTCATGCAAGAGAAGTAACCTGAGAGAACATTATGCAATAACCCTGTGTTTTTCACTGGCTTACAGCACAGAGAAAATGACAATATATAAAGCCAAATCACAACCAGAGATTTTCCTCATTTATCTTCCTATTTTTATCATTTCTTTTCACAACACAGTCTCATTATGACACACTTTGAAAATGATTTATAAGTGTATCATCATGAGAGTGGTTCAAGTAATTTCTAGTGATCTAACCCAAGACTCTTCATCCAATTCCAAATGAGATTTCAAACTCAAGTCTACTAGGATTTGCACAATGGCCTGATGGGACAAATTTTTAAAAATCAATTTAAACTATAACTTCACTTAAGTAAGACTGAAGTCCTATGTAAAGTTAGCTTGTAACACACAACTTGTTAACTTCAATAACCAAAAGGTAATCTTAAAGTGACTCTCTACCAACATCTGCTTGGAAGGATTGAAACTTTATTGCGTATTTTTGGGGTTCAGCATAAAGTTTCTTAAGCATCAAATAAAACTGATTTTTCTTACAGCTGAAGACTGATCATACATAAGAAGGCAGGCAGCATGAATTAGAACTCTGATGCATCAGCTCTGAAGATGGTAAAGTATTCCATGGTACTTTCCCATCCTTCTGGGCATTTGTAACTAAAGCTAGATGTCTGGGGCTATACTCTTCAAATTCAGGTAGTATTCTCTGTACACTTCCATGAGCTATTGTGTAAAATGGGACATAGTGGGTGCCACCACATCTTCTAAAGAGCTCTCTCAAGGCATCTGTGACCTACGCATGCAGGGGAAGCTTTTACTTCCCACAAGTACCACCTTCACTAGATGTAGGTAAACACTTAGTGACTTCAACTTTAATTATTCTTTATTTTGCAGATCACAGGGAAGAACAATCATTACAGACCATTTTAAGAATACATTTTTCAAACGACATTTGTGTCCATGAATGCACTTAAGCCTGACTGTTAAGGATTTCGTAAAATGGCAGAATAAGGAAGACTCACTTTGGTTCGCTATAAATCTCTTTCACACCATAACTGTATATGAATCACTTCAGGACAGCATGATTCACAGCATCATACACAAGCCGAAGTCTCATTTGATGCTTACAAATGGCTTACAGGTTTTGACATTTAATAAAAAATAATTTATTTCATCTGTAGCACAAAATGGAAGTACTCACTGATATCATCTTCATGATAAATGACAGAGTGGAACGGTAGAGTTTTGTCCTTAATATATCTCTCTGCTGGCTCAATATAAAAGGTCCCACTGTGAGTTTGGATGAATCCTTCAAATTTTCCATCAATAACAGACCCATGGCTAAGACTTCCCTGCTCACCTGTTAAGGAAAAAGATATATTTGGTTTGGGTTGTGGGTTTCTCTTTTTGTTTTGGTTTTTTTTTTTTTGTTTGTTTGTTTTTTTTTCACCTTTCTAAAAGATATCAGTCCTGTGCAAACTTCAAGCATACATGCTACCAGAGGTGTTAAACAGACAATGCTAAAGCATGATGTTTGCACAATTATCCTAATTGTGCACCAGTTCCCAAGTGCTAAACCGCTACGTGATATAGCAGTAAGATTCTGGATAACAGCAGTAAGACATTCTTGCAAAAAGTTTGTGTCTGAATTTTTAAGACTAAGATTATTCAGCAGTAAGATATACAGTTATCCCAAAATCATAGTTACTAAATTCAATAGCTTCCTAATCAGATACATGACATGTTTAAAAAGCATATAATGAAGAATTCAAGTCCATATTTTAAAGCTGTCACATATACAGCATGTAATCGTATATCCAAGTCCTGTCCTTATACATCTGTTCATATAATCATTTAAAAAAAAAAAAATCAGTGTATACTGAACTTTGAAAGCTTTCAAAGAAAGATCTCCCTATAGTAAAGACATCTGTTTTTCTCTTCAAGTATAAACCTCTTAAAACTGTAGCTAGGTTTAAATGTGGGATAGAGTGAATTTGTATTTGAAACAGTCAGTCTGGAAAACTATGAAATTTAATCATTGACAGCTACAACATGCAACATCCCCAACAAGCCTTTTCCATAAAAAGGATGAAGGATAACTAAAAAGAATGTTTGCGGAGGGCTCAGAATCATGCTATCAAATTATCAGAACTGTGCTCATTCTTATCATTAACCAGCTCTAATTTCTAATTAGCAATTGCAACAATTTTATAAAGCTCATACGCAGTACTGAAATTTGAAAAAAGTATCTTGAAGGTACAGAACTCTTGAGAGAACACGAAAAAGTAGAAATAAAATTAGCGTTCCACAAAGCTCAAGACATTTTTAAGTATTCCCAGATTTACGTCAGACTATATTCTATTAGAATATGCATTAATATCCTGAACTTATAAGCTTATCAATTGGAAATTTCAGAGCACTTGGAAGGAAGACTCTTGACCTGAATGGAAATCAAGAACCAACAGCAAAACAGCTCATTTACTCAACTCTAACTTAACTTTGTTCATGATCTTCATGAGAAGTACAAACTTGGGTCGAACGAGAAAGATAACAAAGAGGATTAAAAAAAAATGTAGAGTAAGCCCAGTGAGTAGATTCATGTGGATCCTTTAATCTCATCCCTCAGCAGTAAGGAAAGAACTGAAACCTTTTCAGAAATAATTTCACAAAATAAGAAAAAAACCACAAAAGACTCCACATACCTTAAAAGCCCTCTGACCTACTTAAGTCAACTGGTAAATTGGTCTACCTAGATGCATACAAAGAGCTAAGCATGTGTACTTCCTTTTGCAGTTTAAAACAGTCACTTCAACACTGTAGGGCATTACTAACACAGATCTTCAGGAAGCAGTTAGATTCCTTTCAGAACCAAACAGACTGTGCAAAGATGAACAGAGTAAGTTTTAATCCTTTTAATCCTTCTTTTAATCTGCTTTTAATTGAGGTTCAACAAGGCCAAGTGCAAGGTCCTGTACCTGGGTCAGAGTAACCCCCAGTATCAATACAGGCTGGGGGAAGAAAGGATCGAGAGCAGCCCTGCTGAGAGGGACGTGGGGGTACTGATGGATGAAAAGCTGGACATGAGCCGGCAATGTGCGCTGGCAGCCCAGAAGGCCAACCATACCCTGGGCTGCATCAGGAGAAACGTGGCCAGCAGGTCGAGGAAGGTGATTCTGCCCCTCTACTCTGCTCTGGTGAGACCTCACCTAGAGTACTGCATCCAGCTCTGGAGCCCTCAGCACAAGAAGGAACTGTTGGAGCGGGTCCAGAGGAGGGCTACAAAAATGATCCAAGGGTTGGAGCACCTCTCCTATGAGGACAGGCTGAGAGTTGGGGTTGTTCAGCCTGGAGAAAAGAAGGCTGCGGGGAGACCTGATTACGGCCTTTCAGTACCTAAAGGGGGCCTATAGGAAAGATGGGGAAAATCTTTTTAGTAGGGACAGCTGTGTCAGGACAAGGGGTAATGGTTTTAAACTAAAACAGGGTAGGTTTAGACTGGATATAAGGAAGAAATTCTTTACAATGAGGGTGGTGCAACACTGGAACAGGTTGCCCAGAGAGGTAGTGGAGGCCCCACCCCTGGAAACATTCAGAGCCCCACCCAACCTGGCCTTGAGGAACCTGATCTAGTTAGCAGTGTCCCTGCTCACTGCAGGGGGGTTTGACTAGGTGACTTCTAGGGGTCCCTTCCAACCCAAAACATTCTATGATTCTATGAATACTCCTTCCTTTCTAATAAATTTTATCTTTTGTATTTACTGAAAACAGGTATATTACCCTTAAAGATGGTAGCCCTATATTCCTTAAATTCCTTTAAACTGAGAACAGTACCTGATTTTTTTAATGCAGACAACTTTTTCCTTTTTTTTTTTTAAATGCATCAGACTTCTATGAAGAGTATGTTCATAAACAGACTTGAACTTCCAAGTTCTATGGATATGAAAATTATTAGGTAGAATACTAATTTTTTAAGTGTGACTCTCAGAAGAGAAGAAAAGCAGATGGAGTTTAAATACATTTAGATGCATTATTAAAGTTTAATAATGAAGACAAACTAATCATACAGATATTAATTTTCTTCATGTACTACTAAAGAGTTTTTTTAAAATGATTGCACTTTAATCCACTTTAAAGTGTTGTACTTACCATAAATGTGTCCAGTGTAAATATGGGAGGTATCATAATCAATTACTTGGTTTGATATTTCTACTTTAAAGTCATCACTAAAAAGAGACGTATCTCTCTTCATTCGAAGGTTGAAGTGTCTAAAGTGAATAAAACAATACATTAAATTGGCTTTGAGCTTAAATTACAAGAGCACTAAGCAAAGTACTTCTAACCAACATTTTTGTGCAAACAATTTACAGACCCTATAAAATTTATGTATAGAAAACTTTTATACTGTACAAGAATTAGACCATGTCATAGCAGGATTTTCTTAAGCAAGATTATTTAGATGCTTTTGATACAAGTAGCTAAATTTACAAGATTTAAGCCAGAAAACAGGGTTAGACTTAAATGTGTACATATGAAATGCTGACTTTGATTATACACTTCTTCTCATTCCTTCAGAAGAGACAGGTGTAGCTTAAGGTAAAAAGCAACTATTTTAATTCACAGCACTGTGAAGCAGAAGAGATAAGAACAACTATCAGCTTATTTTACTTTCACTGCCAACATTTAAGCAACGTAAATGAAATGTAGGTGAGCTAATTACTGTTTCAACTGAAACTCAAAAAATAAGATGGGCAACAACATCTAATAAAAAATACTTAAAACTGGTAGTTGCATGCACAACTATGTAAATAACTACCCATTGAATGATCTTGTTCAAATTACAACACTATGTTCTTTGATGCAAATCCTACTGCTAATCTTTGTATGAAACACACCACATTTTCTTTGTAGGAAAACAAAAGTTTGGTTCAGTGAAGTCAAGCAGCATAACTGAAGTGTTTTAAAATGCCTGACATATGAATTCATACCTGTGACAACTGTTAACTTGCTTCAGAATTTCATTTGGTATTCTCTTAAATTTTGTGTAAACACATTGTGCAAATACAGATAGTGAAGTTGTTGAAACTTCAGTTGTTCCAATATTACTCTTGATTTCCTTCCTATATTTTTCTCTTTCTGCACAATCATGAAATTGAAGGAATATTATAGTTACATCACCAATTTGTTACACAAAAGTAACTCTGGTAAACTGACTTCATCTGTGTCAACCTTCATCTAAAAAAAAGCTGACCAGTCTCTCAGAATACACAGTATACTAATGATAGAGCAGACTTTCCATAGTGAAAGCTAGTATCCATTTGTGCTAACAGCAAAATAACCAAAACAATTAAGCACCACAGCGTAAAAGCAATTCAATCTGATTACTTTTTAGTACAGCTGAAACATATACAAAATATACCATCACGTCTTTACTTGCACATTAAATAATATGACACTACAGTTATAAATACTTTGAAACAACTGTACATTAATATGCAAAATTCAAGATTGGAGAAAAGAAGCCATGCTTACACTTAAAACCTGAAAAGGGCTCTAGTGACTCATATTGACTATTCAGTAATGCAAACAGTATTTCACAATCAAACTATCTTTAGTTATTATTGATTCCACAGTGTTGTTAAAGCTTCAAAGCAAGTATTCTCCTCTGGTGTTGCATTAGAGGTATCTACTACAAGGTTATGAAATTCTGAGATGTGGCTTATAGACAGGGAAGGCTAAACTTCAGCAATTCCCCGTGACTCTTGGGCTTTGTGCCAAGCCAACCAGCGCACGTAGTATAGTTTTTGTATAGATGTATTTTATGAGGGCAGATTCTCCTGTTAAAAAGGAAGAAACAGTTCACTACAGATGAGCTTGAGTATTGGAGTCTCCTAAGAACAACACATCAGCTAGCAGTTAGAAGCTATCCACACTCAGACACAAAGGCATGTTTTATGATAAATAGCTAGTATTCATAATATCACACGGACAGAAAAAAAAGTAAGAATTCTTCTTTAAATGAGTCTCTTTACTAGCTCTGTAAAACTGTCTTTTGGTAACATAGCGGTTCATGAGGATGAGAAGATAACATGAACAAGCAACCCAGAAAAACACTGTAAGACAAAATGCTACAAGATTATGCAATACATTGAGGGGGAGTGTGGGTGTGGGTAAGACTTTAAGCCACCTTGTGTGGCTCTTCTGGGAAGAAGTTAGAAATGAACAAGCAGAAAAAAATTAAGACCAGCACTGGTAAGAATGCAAAGAACTTCATTCAATTAATCAAGAAGCTCTACTCACTTTGGTTGTAATACACTGCTCAAGGTGTTACAGAGATTTGAACTCCATTTTAGTTTTGAGTTTTCCTGTGACTGAGTTCTCCAGAGCTACCAAGGATGGATCAGACTCTCTTCAAGTGCATCTGAATGCAGTTAAATGACAAGAGATCCTGGATACTTCAGAATAGCTCTCCACCCTTCTCTAAAATTTTATAGAAGACTTCTTGCCATAAGAAGCTTGTAATTCTGTCTCTGTGATGAACCAAAGTATCTACTAAATCCAGCAAGAACACCTATCATGGCTAAAATTATTTTTTCCTGGTGAAAAGAGTAGGTTTTCTGAAAAAACATCTCAATCTATATAGCAGTTTTCTCTCAGAAGAGCAAAAAAGTTGCTTTAAAATTGGATTTTCCTGGTTGCATTCATGTAAGTTTCAAATAAAATTGAGGAGTAATTATTACCTTTAACATTCAACTGCATCAGCAATTTCTTTACCTTTTTGAAGTACACTATGTAAGACAATGCAGGACTTCTCATATTCTAGCTCCCCTATGTCAGTGGAGGGGGGGGGGGGGAAGACTATCTCAGAATGAAAGTGAGTAATTTACCAAGTTTAGCCTAAAATAACCCCAAATAGACAAATGAACTAGCCCTAGGCCTCAACTGTGAAGCCATCCAGAGTATCCTTTCCTTAATTGCCAAGCCATCTATGTTCTCACCCTTACAAACTAGTGTGGCATTCAGCGTGGTGCTTCTGGACTGCCACTGTTGACTGTCATCTAACCATGCTTGAGGGTCAGGTTTGAGTTTTGCCTAGATGGCCTGCACTACAGGACTGTGCTTTTGGAGGGGCAAGGGGAAGCTCAGTAGAGTATCAAAGCTGAGAATGGCTCTTCCTTTTGGGTGGGATACCCTTCCATCAATATTACCCTATCCATCACTTCAAAATGGACTGTTAGAAGTTATATGTACCAAATAAAAAGTTTGACTAGTTTTAAAATGAAGAAGCCTCTATTCTTCTTTCATTTTCCCCTCCTCTTACTTTCTGCACTGGTTCATAACTAACACATAATCCATGCTATTAATTATCTATTTGTTAATAAAATTAGCTCTATTTGCAAGATTAGAAAACTATTTCAAATACAGAATAACGCAGCCGTGTTTCACAATACCAATTCCCTGACCAATTGATTTCTTAATTTATTTAAACTTAGATAACCTGATTGTGTCTCAGCTATTTTTAAACAGGTCTTTTCTTGGTCATTCAAACATGCTTGATGGGAACAGGATTATCTGTCTGGACTGTTCACCCTTTTAATAATGAAAAATGAAGTGACAAACCTTCCTTTAGTTCTCCCCCAAGAAAAAAGGGAGGAGGAAAGACAGGCAACTTGAGCGGTATGGGGCATGGTGGGAAACAAAGCATCTATTTGTCTCTACTTCCAAGAATTAACAGCTTTAACAAATCACCAAACTTTAAACAATGGTAATCATAAAACCCCACATATTACATGAAACCTACAGTAGAGAAAGTAAATTCCATTTTCATGGCTATGCAGAGCCATCTTAACATACTACTTACAAGTGTCAGTGAAATTAACTGCACTGAAAAGATGCCAGTTTATAGGTGAGGAGAATCCAAATTGTAATGACCGATTCAAACAAATGAACAGTTGGCAGGGACCCCCAAAAAATCCACTTCAACACCATAATTTCTCAGTAAAAAACTTCCAAAGACCCTACAAAATCCATTTCATTATCTCACCCAATACAGAAGTTTTCCTAACATTTACTCTAAATTTCTTCATAGTTAGCATTTCTTCCCCTTTCTTGAGAGGGATAAGCTAGTTGCCTTCCTTCTCAAAAGGATGTGGAAGAGAATGCATCTCAGCTTTCTTTCCTGGCTTAAATCCAGTAACGTCAAGAATTCTTCTGAAGATAGGAGACTCCAGAGAAGTTCAACAAATTTGCCTATATCATCCCTTAATATGGTTTCTAAAACTAGCCACAACAGAATAAGAAACTGCAAATAAGCCTTTTGGTAATTACCATTTTTACAGCATGCATCAAGTTGTCTGTGCCAGCACCTATAGCAATGTAAACAAAGCTATTCCCTAGCCTAGCTACACACCAGGCTGAAGATTAACTATTTCCAGAACAATAATGCTTCTTTTATTTACACACTTACTACCTTGCATAAGACATTTCCCAGCAGTAGTGGTCTCTAGAATAGAATTAAATCTGTTAAGACCAAGTTTTGACCTTGCTTATAAGTTACTGCTTCTGTCTCACACGTATCTGAAAACAGAAACAGGCCAGTACCTGGTTACTGTATGGGTGCTTGTTTAGTTGAAGACAGAATTTTTGGTAGAACTGTTTATATTGTAACACAATCAGCTTTGATAATAAAACTACATCTTACTCATTAATAGCAGTACCCTAAAGACTATTAAGAGGTAGATTCTTATTTTGCTTTAGTTTACCTCAGGGGGACCATGTCAGATCTGCAAGAATGTAACATAGCAACTCAGTGACAATTAAAGAAAAAAAAAAATAGTTGAGAGCACCATGTTTAGCTAAAACCCAGTAGTTTCCCATAAGCTTGAGTTATGTCAATCCTGTGCTCTAATCACAGGGCAAGTAGTTTAAAAAAAAAAAAAGCTGTGTGTATATACCAACAGCACTTGGTAAAATGAACATAAAGGTGTACAGGTAAGAGTTAATGCTTACTCTATTATTCCATTTCTTTTTAGTATGAGTTACCTTGTAAGATCAGTGATTTTGCTATGATGGAATGTCCAATATATTGGAATGCTGATAGCAAGTCTACAGACTTTTCCAAAACTGGCAGAAAGAGCTATTATTAGTGGTACGCAAAAGGGCACTCCACTCGATGCTTTCCCTCTCCTACCTTTCCTCAGTCAAGTTGCTGTAACCAGTGGCAGACTGAGCAGGCAGAATCACTCAGTGACCAGAGGAGATTGGGTTA